TTTTTATTGTTGATATATAGGTGTATATTGCAATTAATATTGGATTATAAATTAGAATATAGTTAATGTAATAAATCTATAATTTTTTAATAAATTTTATAGAAGCAGATAAAAATATACCTTTCAGAATATCACACATTTTGTGTATATCTATTCAATAAAAACATGCATATTGTATATGAAGACATTACAATACTGATCACATTACAATTGTGGTAATAGTGATCACTCTAATTTTTGGTAATGGCAATATTCATTTTGTCTGGTTTTGTTGCAGCATGCCCCATATAAAAACTTTTCAATTGTTGCTTTAATTAAAATTCTGTTCAGTTTTCAGTTTCTATATATGAATATTCTGATACAAAAAAAAATTGAGGTTCAATAGGTAAAGTTTTCACTTTTTCACATTTTTGACCAATTTTTATATATATTTGTATATTTCTATATATTAAATTTCAAATTTTATTTCCAAATGTTCATTAATAATAACTAATGTAAAGGACATGTCCCTAAGTGCGAGTGCTAACTGTATATACTATTAATATATATAATAATAAATTTTCTTTTGGGAAATCAGGGTATGGCATAGCCAAATATGGTAATTAGTTACAAATAAAAAAATATTCAAAAATCGTACAACAATAATTTTTGTTAGTATCACGTGCAACCAATCAAATTCTTCCCCTTTATAGATGCATCCATCCATAAATGCACGCTCTCGTCCATTCCCAATGGGGGTGCACTTATGGAGGGTTCTTATTTATTTAAGTTTTTTTAAATAAAGTTTATCCACGTGATGACCTACAAATTTCCTATAAAGAACTCTCTCTATAACGAACTTTTATAGACCAGCCTAAAAGTTCGTTATAGAGAGAGTGTACTGTAATATTCTCCTCAATTAATTAAAATCAATCAATTAATTTATACATTTAAATCAGTAGTAACTTCCTTTTCCTCAACTTTTATTTCATCAGAATTCTGGCCTTCATTATCATCGTTACCTTTGACATCACTGCAATCCCTACCAATAGAAGGAAAAGCAGGATGACTGTAACTAGGCCTTGATTCTGGATTGTAATGGAATAAACACAGTCCTATGATGGTGCTAACAAATGACACAGGATAAAGATGATGCATCTGCAAATTATAATAATCGATTAGTGGAAGGAACTATCAAAACCAAATTCTAGTTATTATTATTATTATTTATTTACCTGGGCACCGAATAATAATAAACTAAATATTAATGAATAGAAATGAATTGTTTGTAAAGAAAGATTAAAGAATGTAGCTGATGATAATTTGAAAAGTATTGGTGCTCCAGTATAAAAAAACACCATTGAAATAGTATATGCAAGTAGCATCCCAACTAAAACATATGAAATGAGGTGGTGTGATGTGGTGTGAATTGAGAAAAAAGTTTATTTTATTATCA